ATAGATAGATAGATAGATAGATAGATAGATAGATAGATAGATAGATAGATAGATAGATAGATAGATAGATAGATAGATAGATAAAACAGAGGCCCCCATATGCATTGCAGCCTCCATGACTGCATTGCAGCAGTGAGAACCATAATCCATTCATTCTCCTTATGACAATTTTTCACATGCTGCCACTCACTTGCCTCACTCTGTCTCGGCACCACCTCAGAAGAAGGGCTTCCACTTCCCAGGACCTCCACCCTTTTTTCTTCCTGTGGCGTCAAGGACCCCTTGCTGGCCACAAGGGGAATTTGCACAGAAGGGAGAGGCTGAGGGTCCTCTTCAGGGGCGCCCTCTGGTGTCTGCAATGGGGACTGCATAGAGGGCAACGCCACAGCCTGAGGTGGAAGGTGGTCTCCTGGAAGACTGGAGGTGGTTTCTTCTCCTGGAGAGGTTGCAGCTGGGAAGTCAGGCTGAGGCACCGGCTCAAAACATTTGTCCTCTTCGGGTTGGTCCTGGGCAAGCCGCTTCTCTTTGCCAGTCAAGGCTTCGCAGGGCTCTGCTGAGACTTGCTCGGGCTCCTCACAGTATGGCTGGGTAGCTTCCAGGATATCATCTTCCTGGTCAGAACTGTTGTCTTTCAAAGGTGAGCTGGTTACTACAAGTAGAGACACATTGTCTTTATTTGCTCTTAAGACTAAGCAGGCCTTCCCTGTCTAATCTCCTGGGCTACAATTGCCTTGATCTCCAACATAATGGGATCTGAAATTTCCATTGTAAGTCATGAAGGTCATAAGTCAAAGCATCACATGACCCGATTTTACAACTTTATTTTGTAGTGGTCATTAAATGCCATAGTCATTAAGTGAACCTGGTGGTGATTAACACAAATTAATGTGTTCCCAGGTGCATTTTTTGTAGAAAGCAGCTTAAAAGGCTGGAAACTGGCCAGTAGCAATCCTTGCTTAGATGATGGGGACCAGAGTCCATGTATTTATTTAGAAGGGGAATCAGGTGAAGGAAACCTTGGAAGTTCTACCAGGATCTTCGTGTTTATCACACCAAGTTCCCATCACTTCCCTCCCCCTCTATTAGAAGCAGCCCAGCTACAATTTCAATCGATCAAAATAGAGCTGGAAGAGAACTTGGAGGTCTTCTAGTCCAGCCCCCTGCTCAAGCAGCAGACCCTATACCATTTCAGACAAGTGGCTGTCCAGTCTCTTCTTAAAAATCTCCAGTGATGAAGCAGCCACAACTTCTGAAGGCAAAGCTGGTTAATTGTCTTCACTGTCAGGAAATATCTCCTCAATTCCAGGTTGCTTCTCTCTTTGAATAGTTTCCATCCATTGTTTCTTATCCTGCCATCTGGTATTCTGGAAATTAGTTGACCCCCTCCTCTTTGTGGCATCCCCTCAAATACTGGAAAACTGCTATCATGTCACCCTCTAGTCCTTCTTTTCTCTAGACTAACCTCAAATCCCTGCAACCATTCTTTGTATGTCTTTGTCTCCAGGCCCTTGATCATCCTAGTTGCTCTTCTTTGCACTTTTCCAAAGTCTCAACATCTTTTTTGTAATGTGGTTGTAATTTTTTTTTTGGGGGGGGGGTGAATTTAAAGGTTTCTAAGCTCTCACTTCCTTCTCCTTGCCAATTCTGTTGTCCACACTCTCTCGGGTGACAAGAGGCAGATCAAGTCTGAGGTTCAGGAAACTGGACTCCAAAGGCAATTCTTGATGCAGATGTAAGCAAGGGCTGGCCTTCCAAGCTATTGCTAAACTACAACTCCCAGCTTCCCAGGGGAGGTTGGGTGGTGAAATTCTAGAAGGGCTGGAATGCCACATTGGCAACATCTTTATATGCAATTACTCCCAAAATTGGTCATCACTGCATCGTTTCTAGCTAGTCATTACAACAACTTTATAAATTTCCTTTACCCTTGGCCCAGTTTCGATGGGGACCCATTGAAGCTAGCGTTCTTCCTGAACCAGGTGTGGGCCCACCTGGGCTGGTATGCACCGACCTACCCTATTGTGTCACGTCTTTCCAGAATATAGAATATAGTCCTTGTTTAGTGACCATTTGCCTTTATGATGGACCCCACCCCAAACAGATGCCCATACTCTTAGTCTCAAGAGAATACCAAGACATTGGTGTGCAGTTTGGAATTGACAAATGTGCAACAATGGCAACCAAAACAGGCAAGGTCATAGAAAATGATGGAATAGAACTTGAGAATGAAGAAATGATAAAGGCAATAAAACCAGAAGAAGGCTACAAGTACTTGGGGGATTTTAGAGGCCTCTGACTTAATGCATAATAAAATCAAGGAATTAATTTCAGCCAAGTACATTCGACGAATTCGCAAGATATTAAAGTCCAAATTGAATGGAAAAAACATCATAAAAGCCATAAATACCTGGGCTATACGCTGCAGGAATAATTGACTCTACCCAGATGGAGTTGGACAATTTGGACAGAAAAACAAGGAAGCTTATGGCAATGAATCAT